AATAACGAACGCTGGCGAGAATGTGGAGAGATTGGGACTCTCACACACTGCTGATGGGACTGTAAAATGGTACAACCATTGTGGAAAGCAGTATGGAGATTCCTTCAAAAGTTGGAATTAGAAATACCATTTGACCCAGCCATTCCATTATTTGATATATATCCTAAAGAAGTGAGAGCCATGACAAGAACAGACATATGCACACCCATGTTCATCTCGGCACTATTTACAATTGCCAAAATATGGAAACAACCTAGGTGTCCATCAACTGAAGAATGGATAACCAAACTATGGTACATCCACACAATGGAATACTATGCAATGCTAAAGAGTAATGTAGAATCTGCAAAACACCGCATAATGTGGATGAACTTAGAGGACATTATGCTGAATGAAATAAGTCAATCACAAAAGGACAAATATTGTATTAGTTCGTTATTGTAAAAAGTTATGGAAAGGTTCATCTGGAAGGAAATTTTCTTTGTTGGTTACCAGGGGTGGGAGGGGAGAGGAGGGACCACCGTTATATAGATAGAGTAAGTATTGTTTTGAGTGAAGAGAAGGGCAATGTACCTAATGTGAGTGATCAATATGGAGGCATTAAGAAGAGAAAGACATAGAGAGGTACATGGGAGTTACAGACAACAAAGACGAACCCTTTTGCTCATACAGTACTGCATTATCAGTGAAGGCAGACATGGGTATACGGGAGAATAGATGGATGGATGATAGGCTGAACTAGTAGGTATGTCTATGAAGGGGAGTGTACCTAAGAACATGAATAGGGTTGGCAGACAACGGTCCTATAATTTTATGTGTATGATCTGAATTCTCAGGTGTATAGTAGAGCTGACAAGAGGCAAGGTGGTAGTCACTGCTTGGTCACAGCCAGCTTCCCAGATGGACCGAGCAGTTGAACCTGTGGGCCCGGGACCGTAGTCACAGGGGACATCAAGGTCAATTGGCATAACATACTATACAAAATATTGTTCCACCTCCTACTTTGGCGAGTAGCAACTGGGATCTTAAAAGCTTGCAGGCTGCCATCTAGATGCAATGATGGGCCTCTCCTTGCCCAGAGCAAAGAAGAATGAAGAAAAACAAAAATTCATGGAAACAGTTAGTCCTAGCGACTGGTACACCATCCAATCTGCAGCCAAACGACTATGAGACCAGAAGAACTAGATGGTGGCCAGCTACCAGTGTCAACCACTTGGAAGGGAATCTATGTAGGAGATCCTGGATAGAGAGGGAGAACAATGTGGACAAAACTCAAAATCATTTGGAGAAAAAAAAAAGGGAGGGGACCAGGTTTGCTGGTGTGATAGAGCCTGGTGGAACCACTGAGACTATGGCCCCTAGCTACCCGTCGGTCTGGAATTGAACCCACACCTGTGGCTTCCAGCCAAGCAAAAGACAGGCATATGAGTTGAACATTTACGTGCGGTAGAGACTCTCCTTGGAGAGAACAATCATGGGAGAAAGAAGGGCTGCTTATGCACAGGAAGACAGCTCAGGGGGCAGGAGGGCATGGAGAGATGGACACAGGGAAGAGGTAATTACTGGGAGGAAGTGGGAGAGAAGCTGTTGCATTGTGGTAAATTGGGGTCAATGTCATGAGACAAAGTGTATGTGAACTGCTGTATAGAAAATGAATTTGCTCTGTAAATTTTCACCCAAATCACAATAAAAGAAAATAAATGAAAAAAAAAAAAAAAGATGTTTACTTGTGTTTTATTGACTATGCAGAGGTATTCGACTGTGTGATTGACTATGCAGAGGCATTTGACTGTGTGGATCATAACGAACTGAATTATGGATAACATTGAGAAGAATGAGAATTCCAGAACATTTGATTATGCTCATGAGGAACCTGTACATAAACTAGGAGGCTATAATTCAAACAGAACAAGGGGACACTGCGTGGTTTAAAATCAGGAAGGGAGTGTGTCAGGGTTGTATCCTTTCACCATACTTACTCAATCTGTATGCTGAGCAAATCTGTGAAGCTAGACTATATGAAGAAGACTGTTGCATCAGGATTGGAGGAAGACTCATTAACAGCCTGTGATATGCAGATGACGTGACTTTGCTTGCTGAAAGTGAGGATGACTTGAAGTACTTACTAATGGAGATTGAAGACTACAGTCTGCAGTATGGGTTACACTTCATTACAAAGAAAACAAAAATCCTCACAACTGGACCAATAAGCAGCATCACAATAAGAGGCGGAAGGATTGCGGTTGTCAGAGATTTCATTGTACTTGGATCTAGAGCCAACAGCCAAGGCAGCAGCAGTCAGGAAATCAGACATCGTGCTGCATGGGGCAAATCTTCTGCAAAAGACCCCTTTACAGTGTTTAAGAGCAAAGATGTCTCTTTGGAGACGTAGGTGAGCCTAACCCAAGCCATGGTGTTTTTAGTCACCTCATAAGGATGTGAAAGCCAGACAATGAATAAGGAAGACTGAAAAAGATTTGATGCCTTTGAATTGTGGTGCTGGCGAAGGATACTGAAAATACCATGGACTGCCAGAAGAAGAACCAACAGGTCTGTCCTGGAGGAAGTGCAACTGGAATGCTCCCTGGAAGCGAGAATGGCCAGACTTCGTCTCGTTTACTTTGGTCATGTTGTCAGAAGGGACCATTCTGTGGAGAAGGACGTCATGCTTGGTAAAGTGGAGGGTCAGCAAAAAAGGGGAAGACCCTCAACAAGGTTATTGTTGCAGTGGCTGCAACAGTGGGCTTGAGTACGGCAAAGACTGTGAGGCTGGTGGATGACCAGGCATGCGGCTGCTTAGAGTCAGAGCCGACTCAGTGGCACCTAACAACAACAACTGGCTTGGAGGTGTTGGCACATTTTTACTCCATCTGTATGAGAAAAAAGAATCTCTGGTAGCATAGTGCCTAAGGCACTTGCCTGCTAACCAGACGGCTGGCGGTTCAAACCCACCAGCCACTCCTCGGAAGGAAGGTTGGGCAATCCTACTTCCGTAGTGATACTGCCTCGGAAACCCAAGGAAGGGTCGCTATGAGTCGGGGCCGACTCGACGGCAAACAGCAACAACAACAACAACTTATTTCTAAGGGTTAGTTTGTGTTTTTGTGTGTCAAGATCAAGGTCTACAAAGATAGAAGGCAGCCATGAATTCTGGAGAGTGGGCCGGTGCAGGCTGAAGGTGGCACTTTGACTCGTTACTTCGTATGATACAGTGTGTTGGGTTTTTTACAGTAAGCATTGGGTTTTGTTAGCAGCGGGTAAACTGTAGTCACTAACTGTTACACGTTGGGTTTGTGCTGGATCCAGACATCTGCAGCCCTCTTACCAGAAATACTGCCGGATGTTGTGCTGCGGTGCAGAGAGAGACTGGCAGAGGCTCCTTCCAGAGAGATCTTCCAGGAGTGCACTAGGTGAGTGGCTGGGCCAGCCCCGCACCTGGAGCGTGCGGCTGAGCCTGACACAGGGCTCTCAGATTGCCTGCGTTAGACAAGAACCCCTCCAGTGAAGGCCATCACCTGCCCTAGAAGGTCAGGGACGAGGACTGCTAACACATGTCCCTAGAATCTCCTTCCAGAATGCTTGTGTCCAGGATGAAAACATTCTTATGGAATGATTTTTTTTAGATGTGGGCACTCACTGAAAAGATCTTTTCTCTGAATCTTTGCAACATGGACAGGATGTTTCTAAGCCAGAGCACAAAACACCAAACCACACCCACTGCCGTGGAGTCCATTCTGACCCACAGCGCCCCTAGAGGACAGAATGGAACTGCCCACAGGGTCTCCAAGGCTGTCAATCTTCACAGAAGCAAAGCCCAAACCACACCCACTGCCCTGGAGTCCATTCTGACCCACAGCGCCCCTAGAGGACAGAGTGGAACTGCCCCAAAGGGTGTCCAAGGTTGCCATCTTTATGGAAGCAAACTGCCTCATTTTTCTCCTGCAAAGCAGCTGCTGGGCTTGAACTGCTGACCTTTTGGTTAGCAGTCCAGTGCTTTCAGCACACTGCCAGAGCACTGCAGCTGAAAATCTGACTTAAAAGACACAGGAAAAGAAAATGGTTTCTGAGGTGACATAGGCCCAAAATCTGTCTGCCACCCTTTGTACATGATGCTGGCCTTCAGGTGTCACTCAGCAGGTGTTTGCTGTGTGCTCCCTGTCAGGCACTCTCCTGCAGCTGGGGTCATAGCAAGGAATGAGGCAAAATAAATCCTGCTGACGTGAGTGTACACTCTTGCACGCCCCAGAAAGCAAACAAACACAACAACCTGTGCCCTGCAGTCATCTTGGACGCAGGTGACCCGTGTGTGACGAGGTGGAACTGTCCTGTCAGGCTTGCTTGGCTGTACCCTGCAGAAGCAGGTTTTTTCTGCATGCCACTGGGAGGGTCTGTGCCATGAGACCCACGCATAGACACCCCTGGGATGTGTTTGAAAATGTGGTCTTTCTACTGACAGATTGTTTTAATCAAGTGTTCCTGGGGAGCTCTGGTAGCATAGTGCCTAAGGCACTTGACTTCTAACCAGAAGGCTGGCGGTTCAAACCCACCAGCCACTCCTCGGAAGGAAGATGGGGCAATCTACTTCCATAGTGATACTGCCTTGGAAACCAAAGGGGAGGGGTCGCTGTGAGTCAGGTCCGACTCAACGGCACAGAACAACAAGTGTTTCCTGGCTTTGGGAGGGAGAAATGATTCTGTTGAGTTTGTGCCTTCTCGTTGTCGCTGCCAGCCCTGGAAAGCAACGTGCACTTCTCTCTGAACAGAATTGTCCTTAGTGACCGACTCTCCCGCGGCTGCTCAAACAGGTTTCGTGTTGCAGTGTGGCACATATGTAACTGCCTGAAATCTTCTTTCTAGAATTGTTCATAATTATTTAAGTGGAGAACCATTTGAAGAATACCAAGAAAGCCCGTATTTTTCTCGGTTTTTGCAGTGGAAATGGCGGGAAAGGTATGTTCTAATTTAAAATTCAGTGAAACAGGTAGTAACTTCTCATGATACACACTGATTGGCTTACACACCTTTCCCTCTGCCAGAAACGCTCAGGTTGATTACAGTCTTTTTTGGGCAGAAATTACTAATACATATCACAGGGGGTCCCCGACTTGTGACAAGGTTCCGTTCTGATGTAAATCCAACACCTTTTTTCTTTTCGTTTTCCTTATTGTTACCTTTTAATATCAGTATCTTTATTAAGTCTGATCTTTGAACACCTGAGAATGGTCACCTCCGCAAATTGTGCCCTGCCACGTTGTCCGTGGTGCGTGCTGCTAACCACAGGATGTACACGAGGACACAGATCCTCCCAAGTGCGACTCGTGACTTGAGCATGTTGTCAGTCGAGCAGGACCTTTGTCAGGCTTCCTTTGATTCACTTGACTCTTCTCTCTTTAAAGTGGCAGCCGGCCCTGGTGGTGATAGACGGTAGCACATATGTTATGCTTCCTGACCTTCGTATGGTACCAAACCAAAAAAACCAAACTCACTGCCGTCAAGTCGGATCCAACTCAGAGCGACCCATCCTTGGGTTCCCGAGGTTGTATATACGGAAGTAGATTGTCCAACCTTCCTTCGGAGGAGGGCTGGTGGGTTTGAACCGCCAGCCTTCTGGTTGGCAGTCACATGCCTTAGGCACGGAGCCACCAGAGCTCCCTCATGCAGTGCGGTGGGGCCTTTTGCTAGCTGTGCAGCCTTGGACAATGTGTGTCCCTGTTTGAGTGGCAGCACCTTGCTCTGTAAAATGGAAGAACTCCAGCACCCACCCTATGAAATCATTACGGGGGCCCCTGGGAAACTGCACAGAGTGCTTAGCGCAGTGCCTGGTGCTTGGAACGAGGGCATCATCCTCAGTCAAGAAGTCCTGACAGTGATTGTTGATTGAGGAAATTTCCTGTTCAAGTTCACACATTGTTCTGAGACTTTGGGGTTTGGCGCAAGCATCTTTGAGGCCCCTTTCTCCAGGGACAGTGTGCTGTGCATGCTGCACGTATGGGTTCCTCTGACAGTTTGAAAGGTGAAGCTGTTAGCGTGCCCGGGACTGTGTGATACCCCCAGCACACACGCAGATCCTGGTGAGGGCTCTGAAATACCTGTGTCGGGTTGGTAAGGACAGTCGAACCATTGTGCATCTTACAGCAGTGTCTTCAGTAAACCTTCAGTATTTCTGCACGTGTGTGTTCTGATCCACGTCGGCCAGGGCCACTAGAGCTGCTCCACCAGAGGGAGCCGCCGGCCCAGGGCCCACACTTTGTCCTGGGCTTTCCCTGTGGGTACCGTGGGTCACCCAGGCGGCCGAGCCAAGAGCCAGGCCTTTCAGTGGTAACCTAACAATGCAATATGAGACCTGAAACTGTTTGTTTCTTTTCCCCCATTGATTAGGCAGCCAGTAACAAAGAACACCTTTAGACATTACAGAGTTCTGGGCAAAGGCGGATTTGGAGAGGTGAGTCCTGTGTGGCCGGTTCTGAGCAGTACTTCCAGGTAAATAACCGACCAGGTGATTAAAAGCCTTTGTCCTCCCCCACGGGCTGGCTCTGAGGCCAATAGTTAACAAACTGTACACGCAGACCACTGAGCCCAGGATGACACACCCACACACTCTATGGAAATACATCCCTTAGAGCAGTGGACCACGGGGCAACATTCAGGTTGAGGCAGGACAAACAGGAGTGCATACATAGGAGGGGCACAGGGGGAGGGGTACGGGCTAGGGAAGGGAGGAGACCGGGTTGGGGTTGGACATGGTAAATGGGGAGTGAAACTAAAAGTACATGTAACGTTGAATGTAAAACAAGCTCTTAAAATAAAAAAATAAATAAACCTTTGTCTTAAGGTATGGTATCAACTTGACCAACACCTTTCTTTCCTTGCTGTGTGTCTAGGGAATAATTCGAGTAAAAAAATTGAACAACTCACTGCCGTTGAGTTGATTCCGACTCCTAGCGACCCCTCCTTGGGTTTCCGAGGCATTATCTCTACAGAAGTAGATCGCCCAACCTTCCTTCCGAGGAGTGGCTGGTGGTTAGCCAGCCTTCTGGTCAGCAGTCAGTCGCCTTAGGCACTGCATCACCAGAGTCAGGCATGAGCATTCAGATTGAGTGCTGAGCAAAAAGTGCTTTGCTGCCAGCTGTCAAGCCATCACTATTGTTTGTGACTTTACCTTTCGCTGCTTATTTCACCCTATTTTCCTCGCCCGTGTTCTAAGGATTAACAGTTTGTCCTGATTTAGAAGATTATCCTGGTTCTACATTGTGGAATTCCCATAATTCTATTTCCATAACTTGATGAGCTTGGAGAACTAGCCTAGCACTTTGTGTATACATAGTGTATTGTTAAGTGTGCTTCCATCACTCTGTTAGGAGAGAGCGATACACAGACCCTGTCCTCACTTTTCAACATGGCTGGGTTCTGAGGACCAGGTCATTATGTGAAAATTGGCGTTGTGTGAAAATGAAGGCACGACTGCATTGTTACCTACCTGCCAGGTTACACCGTTACCTCACCAGTGCCCTTTGTGTCCGAGTTCCAGTCCCATGTTTTCTTTGTCCAGATACTGGCACCAGAATCTTCCATTGGGTTTGAAAGGACAAATGTGGTGGTCTTGTGTGTTAATAACAGTGACTCTTTTGCTTGTGTTCAGGCTGTAAGGTCCTGAGGCAGGGGCCGTGCAGGGGAATTGGGCAGGCCTCTCTGTTGTCATGGCTTTAGAGGCAGCAGCGGCAATGGGAAGCACCTGTAGTTTGGAGTCAAGTGGCCCTGAGTTCAAATCCTGGCTGTGTCACTTCCTAGCTAACCCAACGAGGTCAGGACTCCTGAGCTCTTGGGCCTGAGTTTCCTGATGCTCAGCGGGGACAGAGGTACTGATGCCTCTTCCCTGGGCCCCGGTGAGGATTGAAGTAGAGTCCAGGCTAGCTGCGGGTTCAGTGCCTGCTGCCCTTACGGCTTCTCTCTTCCCTCCCCGAGAGGATGTGGCTCCTGGCTGGCAATTCCACGTGTAGGAGTTTATCTCATGTAAACGGTAGACTGAGGCGCCAGGATCTGTGTGAGCAGAATTAAGGGTGTGAAGATGGTGTGGCCCTTTTGGAATAGTCACAATGGAATACTGTGCTGTAATTAAAAAACATATTTTAGGAGATTAGGAGAATACTTAGTGATAGGGAAGCAGTCACATTACAAAACTGAAGAACAAAGTTAAGAAATAGCGTCTGCTCTGTAGGTGGCTGTGAGTCGGAATCAGCCTGGCGGTGGTGGCTTCGGTTTTGGTTTATTTTGTGTATGCTCGTTGTTGCTGGGGAGGGTCGGGTCTGTGTTCCTGTCAGAGGTGGACTTAGAAGCCTGTACAGCAGAATGGTAATGATCTTGGAATTAGAAATGAGGTATTTTCCTCATTGTCCTTAGTCAAACTTGGAGAGTTTTCCACAATGAACTCTATTACTTTTGCCATCAAAATTATTTATTGTTGGATTAAATTATGTCTTGAATTCACTTTTAAAGTAATCCTGTGTGTGTGTGTGTGTGTGTGTGTGTGTAGTAGCTGGGAGTCGGATGAATCAAGACTGGCCCCATGTTGGAAACTATGAAACCTGACTGACACATCCATGGAAGCTCATTATACCATTCTCTCTGTCTTTGTATGTTTAAGATTTCTCATAATGTGAAATTAAATAATAGGTTAATTTTACTATAAGAACTAACTAGAACAAAGGCATAAAAGTCTATGAGTCTGTGAATTCTGTAAAATATATTTCCTCATATTCTTGAACTCTTTAATATGAAAAAACCAAGAATTTCTTAAATTTCATATTTCTAAACTTTTGCTGTCTTGCAAACAGTAAAATGGGCCTCTGGAACTTTTTTTAATTAAGCAGATGTCCCACGATCCTATATGGACAGCAGGTGGTGTTCCTGGTTGGTCTCGGCATTTGTGAAGCATAGTGTTGTGTTCCCGTGGTTCTCACGGACGCTCTATGGTCATATCCTTTCCAAGGGGAAGAGCCGACATGCACCCTCCAGTGCCTCCACGCTGACGCGGTGTTTACTTAGAGAAAACTGTTCTATGTTTAGCCTAAGGAATATGGGGTATATATGAATCCCCTCCTTTTTTTGGTAAAACCAGGTGTGTGCCTGCCAAGTGCGAGCCACAGGAAGAATGTACGCCTGCAAAAAGCTGGAGAAAAAGAGGATCAAGAAGAGGAAAGGTGAAGTTATGGCTCTGAACGAGAAGAGGATCTTAGAAAAAGTGCACAGTCGATTTGTAGTAAGTATCTCCATGTACCCGCACTGCCTGTTGCCTGGTCAGTGGTGCTGTGTAAGTCTCGTGCCTTCGAGCCCCTGAACTTGCATAGGCTGTTTCTTAGCTTACATGGGCCTTTACTGGCTGGTGCTATTAACAGACGCTGGCGCTGGCTGGCTAGTTTCCAGTCACTGCCCTGCTTGTTGGAAGGCAGGTCTTACCAGATGTGGGCATAAAGCAAGGTGCTCCCACGTGCACATCCTCATGTGTCCCAAGCCATTGCTGTCCACCATCATACGTTCCTGCCCGTGACTCTCCACACCTTCAGGTTTACAGAGTGCCTTCAAGTCCCCTTGGTCCCTTTGGTGTTGCCTGTTGAAGCTCCCCTCCTGGGACAATCTCAGTCCCCTCCTTGTGCTTACCCTTCAGTTTGCCACTAGCCTCATCCTGAGCCGTCCCCCACCCCCACGGCCACCTGCTGCCATGGCTTGGGTCCCCCGTGAGCTGCTCTGGGGGGGCACAGTGGCTTTGATCTGCCTAGTGATACCATCTCCTCACTGGGGCCTCCCCTCTTTGGCCTCTGTTACTGTTCTTTGTCCTTGTGTGACACTTGGCACGTTTTCCTCCAGGCTCTCAATTAGAGTCTTCCCATCCTCTGAAGCCTTTCAGGTAAGGCTTCAACATCCAGGGGACAGCACAGAGTCCTGAGAGACACCCCAGGCTCTAGGCTGTGTGTTCTGTGGTGTGGTTTCCATCTCCAAGCCTAGCTCTCTCCATCTGAGTTCATATTTCCTGCAGCATCTACTAGAACACGGAGGTCTAGTTGAGGAGGGCATGTGAGGATAGTTCCTGAAACCACTGTAAGCTTCCTAACACCGTTGATTCCTCACGTTGCGGGCAGCTGCTCTGTGCTGGGGCCAAAGTTCTGAAGCGCTGTGCCTTCACAGCTGTCACCCGACCTTAAGAGCAAGGGTTTATGGCTGTGACATGTTGATGTCAGCTACAGTGACGTGAAAATCGTTCATCTTTGGAGCTGCTTTAAACGTTTTTGCTTAACAACCCTGAACTGTGGGGATCTGTAGTCTAGCTTTATGAAGGGACCAGATAGTGGCTACCAGTCTCTGCTCTGGGCCTCTTCCAGGGGATCAAGGAAAGCCTGCCTTCTTGATTGTTTCTTCTCCCTGGTTGCAGCCAGTCAGCAGGTCCTAGGTCACATTCATCCTCTCCTCTCCACTTCCGTCACCCTCAGCCAAGCTCCCAGCTTGCCCCCGTGCCCCTTGCAGTCCCCTCGCCACAGAGCACTATGGGTGACGTCTTGAAGGTTTCCATGATGATGTTCTTCCTTCCTGATCCACACTCTCTGTGGCTCCATCACACTAAGACTAAAATAAGCCCTCGGCTTCAGCTCTCAGGCACCGAGTGACTGCTCCCGTGCTCTCTGCTGCCGTCTCCCACCAAGCTTCTCCACTGCAAGGACCGCGAACAACTGTGCCATCTGCCTGGATGCCAAAGGGGCAGGGAGCGGCATCTTGTGGCCTCCTCTAACCCCACAAGAGGAAGGCAGAGTCACCATCAGCAGCCCAAGGCCTGTTCCTGTGAGGCAAGACATGCTGCCTCCCTCCAGCCCTTTCACCAGCCTTGACACCAACCGTTCCTCCCGCAGCACCCACCACCTCTCTGCTGGGTTTGATCATTCACTGCAGTGGGCACACAGAACTCACAGATTATGGGGTTTATTAGGGAAGCACCAGGCTACAAGTCAAGTTCAGGAACACGCTTGGTCTCTCTCAGCCCATTGTCTCTCAGTTGACAGCCTCTCTCACTAGCGCATGTCTCTTGATGTCTCTCAGCCAGCAATGAGAGATTCCTTCTGCCTCTAGGAGGGCTCCTTTTAAGCCTGGCAGAGTAGCCAAACTAACCAATCCCAACATTAGAATTCTATATACCTGAGAGCGAGAGAGAGCACTTCCCAGAAGATTGCCTTGTGCTGCTCCCCACAGAACACCCCAGGTGGATAACTTAAACAATCAGGAGCTACTCAGTTGCTCACAGCACATTCCACCATGGAGTTTACACAGACTCATGGCTAGAAAAGCCGCACTATGTGATTTACTACACCTCCTTGGAGCATCTCTGTGCTATCTTTGGGCACCTCCCCGTCCTGTGCTCTCATGGGGGCTTACGTGTGAATCACTGTCTTCAGTTATCACTCTCTGACATCTGTGTGTTCATCTGTTTATCATCTGTCCCCTGCGCTGACCCCCTCACTGCTGCAGGAGGGCAGTCAGGGTCTTGCTCACTGCCGTATCCCCAGTGCCTAGAACAGGCCTGGCGTGGTAGGAGGTTCTCAGCGTTACTTGGTTTGTTGAGTGAATGATTAGTCACTGGAGGGAGAGAGTAAGGGATCCCTGTTAACTCTTGGTTATGAGGGGAAAGGCCCAGCCGGAAATTCCGCGCTATTGAATCGCCTGTTACATGCCCGGCCGGCCGCTGCGGTTCACAGTGGGCAACCTCCACAGAGGCTGCGTTTCTCAGAAACGCCGCTGCTCCCTCTGTTCTCACTCTCACCAGTCTCTCCACCCACCTGCACCTGGCAGCCCTTCTCCATTGTTTACTGCGTCATGACCGTGTTGGGTTCATTCAGGAGGGAAAATCAATTAGTGTAATTCATCACATTAGCTGAGTAAAGGAGAAGCACTGTATGATTATCTCAGTAGGTGGAGAAAAGTGTTGGATAAAATTCAGTGCCCTTTCGTGATTAAAACCACTAAGCAGGCTGAGTGGCAGGGAGCCTGAAGAAGAGTTCTCAGACCTCACAGCAGTGGAGGAGACAGTCTGTGATGCTCTGGACAACAGAGAGTGTAGCCAGGTTGCAGGCACAATACTAACCACAAATGAGAGAATGAAATGCTCTAATGATACCACTTACGATAGCTCAGAGCATCACCACCGAGGGCAAAAATATAACAGAAAGGTGCAATATTCCTACACTCTCAGCTATAAAATGTTGTTGTAAGCAATTGAAGAAAAGCCACAGTCTTGGGGTTAACTTTTGAGCCTAGAAATGGACTCACTTACATGGATTGGGTCTCAGCCCAACAGTAGAAACACCTATACACACAACACCCACCCCAGGATGATGCACCCACCTACTGTAGGGAGATGCACCCCTTGAAGCAATCACCCATGAGACACCAGAGGGGTAGCAGTCACACAGAGGGAATGCTGGACAGACAGGAATGCATGGACGAGAGAGACACGGGGGATAAAAGAAAGAAAGAAAATAATAATAATAAAGAAATTGAAGAAAAACCTAAACAAATGGAGAGACACCATGTTCATGGACTGGAGACTCTGCTGTGAAGATGTCAATTCTCCCCAAAATTAACTTGTAGACAAGATAGAGTAAATGCAGTTCCATTCAAAACCCCAGCAGGGATGTGTGTGTCTAACATGACATGCAAACCAGCATACAAATGGACAGCAAGCTTGAGCAGGCATTGTACAGAAGAGGATATCCCTGGGACTAAGACGCATGCTCACAGCGACCCTATCCCACTGCCATCAAGTTGATTACGCCTCATAGCAACCCTGTAAGACAGAGAGCAGCTGCCCCGTGGGTTGCCAAGACTGTCACCTTTACAGAAACAGGCTGCCACAGCTTTCTCCTGTGGAGCCACTAGTGGGTTTGAACCACCAACATTTCTGTTAGTGGCCGAACGCTTAACTGCTCCACCCCAGGGGTCCTCAGTGACCCCATATGTTTATTAGCCCTTTGGAGATCCTCTCTCATGAAGTGCCTGCTCAAGCACGTTGTCCTTAGGGTTGTTTCAAGTTGAAGTTGACTTGATGGCATATAGCAAGAACGATGAACATTGAAAGTAGAGGGGTGTCCCGTTGATTTGTGTATTCAGAGAACTGCAGGTTCCGACTGCAGTAGGACACCTGTGTGCTCCCAGGAGCATGGCTGAAGGTGGGCGGATGGCCAGCGGCCAAGGTCGGGAGGCTGGGGAGCAGCAGAGCACCCTGCCCTGCTGGCGGCCGAGGACGTGTGCCGACCTGCTGATGACTGGAGCCGAGTCCAGGGGTCAGGACCCGGGGTCTTCCCAGCGTGCCGCCCACTCACTCAGTAAACTTAGAAAGTCCTCTCTTTGGGCACAGAGCTGCCAGGGACAGATGTTCATGTTGTACCATGTCGCTTGGCGCACGGCACCGCCGTCCTTCCCTAGGGGGTCTGTCACTCGGGCCAGGTGGGAGGAGGGCCTGGTGTGTGTAGCACGCGTCGCAGAAGTATCTCGTAGTCGGGTGTTTTCGGTCTAAATCTAACACAGACTGTTTGAAGGCTATCAGCCAGTGAGTCAGTCGCCCCCGAATCAGCGGTTTGTGTTTTGTGTTTGTGACACTGTTGTCTTTAGGTCAGTTTATCCTACACGTATGAGACCCGAGACACCTTGTGTCTGGTGCTCACCATGATGAGTGGAGGAGACCTGAAGTTTCACATCTACAACCTGGGCAATCCTGGCTTCAATGAGCCGAGAGCCGTGTTCTACGCCGCAGAGCTGTGCTGCGGCCTGGAAGATTTGCAGAGGGAACGGATCGTGTACAGGTGAGTGTGGGCTAGGTGACGAAGCGTGAGCCTCAAGACCCCAGCCTCCAGAACCTTCGGCCACACGCTGCGTGAGGACCTGGGCTGGAGGCAGCCGGAGAGGCCGCTCTGACCATTCCCGAGGGCGTGGGCCCTCACACCATCAGAAAAACGGCAGCTGTGGTCCACCGTGGTGTCTTTAGTAATCATTTTAGATCATTTTAGGAAGAAAGCTGTCCTCCTCCGCCCCTGGAATTCCTGGGTTCTGATTCTCTTCTTAGTCCTGGTCACAGAGAAAACTGACGTTTTCCTCTTTAAGACAGCGCCACGCTGTTGACCGGAGTGGCTGGGCGTCTGCGTCTCATCCGGCACCTTTCTCCATGTTGTCCGTCTCTGATGATAGCCCTCCCAGTGGCTGGGTAGCACATTTTTTCATGTAGTCACTGGCTAATCTTCTGTCTTCTGTGGTGATATGTCTATTCAGATATTTTAAATGGAATTATTTGTCTTCTTACTGAATTATAAGAATTCTTTATGTATTCCAGATATGAGTCCTTGACCAGGTATGGAATCTGCAAGTATTTTCTCCTGGTTTGTGATTTGTCCTCTCAGTTTCCTTCCTCCCTTCTTCTCTTCCTTTTTCTTTTCCTTCCTTCCCTCCCTCCTGTTTTTGGAGAAGCAAAAGTTGTTTATTCTAATGAAGTCCAATTTGTCACTTTTTTCTTGTATTGGCATGTTGTATCTAAGAAATCTTTTTCTTACCCAAGGTGGTAAAGATTCGCTCCTTTGCTGTTTCCTAAAGGTTCTGTCATCGTAGCTGTTAGATTGAGGTTGATGGCTGACTGTGGGTTAATATTTGAGCATGGTGTGGGGTGGGCTCTAACCCCAGTACCACTTCTTGAATATACTGTCTTTTCTCCATTGAGTTGCCTTGGCACCTTTGTCAAAAGTCAATTGGCTCTAAATGTGAGGGTTTATTTCTGGCCAGAAGGCTGGTGGTTCAAACCCACCAGCCACTCCTCAGAAGGAAGGTTGGGCGATCTACTTCCGTAGTGATACCTCCCAGGACTGACTCGACGGCAGTGAGTTAGCTTTGTTCCACTGATCTGTAGGTCTGTTCCCATGCCAGTACCACACTGTCTTGTAGCTTTGGAGAAACTTTCAACATTGGGAAGTTTTGAAATCCTCTGGTATTGTCCTTTTCAAATATTGTTTTGTCAATTCTGAGTCCTTAGCATTTTCTTGTACTTTTTAGGATCAGCTTGTCAGTTTCTGCACAAAAAATAACACACTGCTAAGGCTTGTGTTCTGGTGGCATAGTGTCTAAGACATCTGACTGCTAACCAGGTCCCCTCCCAGAGCTATTGTCATGCTCATGCTCTCTCTGTGGTGGGAGCTCCATTTTGCTGCCTTGAACCCCTCCTGTGTAGGTGCCAGGGATGTGTGCACAGTGGAGGGGTGGAGGGGTCCTGAGTGAAGACCGGTGGTTGGGAGAGGGCCACACTCGGAATCAGGGTTCAGGAGAAAGCCCTTGAAAAACAACGGTTCTCTCCCTAAGAGAACAAAAGAGTAAGTTGTTTGAGAGATTAAGTCTAAAATATTTTAGCCTTTAATAATCTCAGTTTGTGAGAAGTTGCTGGCACCCCTGCGAGTGACAGTGACTTGTTTATGCCATATTTCTCCCCGGGTGGCACACGCTCCTTCAAACCCTGCAGTGACCTGGATCAAGAGTGGGTGGTGACCACTGTGATTCATGGGGGAGATACTGAGCTCAGACAGCTGCCAAGGGGCACAACTGGAGTTTGGATCCATGTCTGTCTCACCCTGAAACTGACTTGTCCCATGGGATGTTTTCAGTTGTTGAAATTTTAATGATAAGATGTTAATGAAAAGAGAAGGTGAGCCAATTTCGTTAAAGGTGAATTCATTTCCTTGCTACTGGGCTGCACGCTAAGGAGCTGTGGTGGCACAGTAGTTAAAGCATTCAGCTGCTAACCGAAAAGTGGTCAGTTCAAACCCACCAGCCACTCATGGGAGAAAGATGAGGCAGTCTGTCTCTATAAAGATGTACAGCCTAGAGAGCCCCACGGGGCAGTTCCACTCTGTCCTGTAGGGTTGCTATGAGTCGGAATCGCCTGGTTGGCAGTGGTTTGGTTTTGTTGAGCTGTGCACTTAATCACTATCTGATGAAACCCGTGCACCCACCCAAAGCAGCCCATTTGAGTCCCATGTCGGAGGCAGGCTGTTTGCTGAACGAATCGTGCAGGACCCTGTCCGGCTGCTTTAAGCCACCTGGAGACAGATGCTTTGTGGCTGCCTGGGGGCTCATCTTTGCATTCACACAGGATGGTTTTGTTCCCTGCTTCTCCAGCAGTTGTTTGTAGCCATGGAGATACATGGGGCGGCTTCTGGCAGGTGCTGAGGGGTCATGGTCTGGTGTCTGAGTAACTGAGCCTTATTTCTTTCCCTGTAGAGACCTGAAGCCCGACAACATCCTCCTGGACGACCATGGTAAGTGAGAACGTGCCTTCCAACACCGAAAGCGGGGTCTTAGCTGGAAGGACTTGGACACGGAGAGCTGATGTGGCCTCCGCCAGTCAGTGCAGAGCAGAGACAAGAGCAAACACAGGGCTCAGGTGCGGGTGCGTTCACACACAGGCAAAGGCGGGCATGGCCCTCCCGGACTCAGGCAGGAGCAGGGCTGGCGGTGCTCTCACAAGGCCTTGAAACTCAGAGTGAGAGCATCTCTTTCTCGGCCTCCTGTTTCCCCACATCGTGCTTGCTTCTCGCGGCTTTACTCTGGTCCCTTCTGAACACCAGCGTGCTGCTCAAGGTGCTGTCCCCTTTTCACCAAGCACCTGTCATGGAGCCACAGCAGAAAAGACGCAGGCTTTGTGTGACTGGCAACAGGGGCCATGGGAGAATGGATGGGACCTGACCCTCTGGCCAGCACGTTAGTGCCCACTCAGACCTTGGTGTCCAGAGTGAGGTACTCCAGAGATGTGCAAGAATTGCGCTTGACCCTTGGACAGTGTGTGGGCTTCGGGCCGCTGACCCCCACAGTCAGAATGCCACCTAGAACTTTGGACTCCCAGAAATCTAACCACTGACAGCCTCCTGCTGGTTGGAAGCCTTCCTGATGACATAAACAGTCGATTAGCACAGGTCGTGCCATATGGTTACTGGACTTTCACGGGAAGAGGCTCACACACGTGCACAGCAGAGGGGTTGATGAAGCACAGCGTGAGGGTCCCTGTTCGTGGAGTGGACGTGGGCCATCAAGGTCATGTCATCATCCTCGTTGTCTTCCCAGTGAGGGGCTGCAGAGGAGCAGGCAGCCGCAGGGGCTGCTCACCTGTGTCAGGTGGCAGAGGCCGAAGAGGTGGAAGAGACCGGAACAGCGGGTGTAACTTGACGGAAATACGTCATAATTTTGGCCGACTTTTTGCCTTTTCCTTTCTCTAAGAATGTTTCTAAACAGCACCAATCTTTCTTCCACTGTTTGCTTTACTTTCAACGCCTGCATCACCGACGGGTCTGTGTGGTTGGCGAACCAGCCCTGGGAAGCGGGACCTTCTTACGTCGGTGTGGTCTGGCACTGCGGTTCTCCACCCTCTTCCTCCTTGTCTGGCACTGGTTGGGAGGCACTGGCCTCCGTCATGCAGTCTTGCTCCTTCCTCAGGTGTGGTGTCCACCAGCTCTTGAGCTTCTCCAAGCTCCACGTCTTGAAATAAGGCCGTGTGTAAGAGGACCAGTGCAATTCAAGCCTGTTCTTCCAGGGTCACTGTGTTGCTGCTGTGGGCGACCGTATTAGCAAGGGTGAGTGGCACTGGAAGGGAGTGGTTTTCCTTGGCAGGCTAAGGAGGGTCTTACAGTCTAGCAGAGGGCCTAAGCCAAGGCCACAGTGGCCCCTTCAAAGGAGAGGACATGCTGGTGCGGCAGCAGGACTTTGCGCCGAGTGGGGGCTGGGCAGCAAACGCGGACGCTGTGGGTCGGTCCTCGGCCGCCTGTGCTCTCGACCTGATGCTCTCGTGCTTGGTGTCCAGCTTGTGCCTGAAACGCCCACCTGGGGGAGCAAAGTGCTAGCGCTTATTTTACACAAGTGTTAAGGTTTGAGGAGGGCCTTGCCCATGGGCGTGGCCACAGCTTCTGGCCCTTAGCCCAGAGCTCATTCTTCTGGCAGCTGCTGCCTGGAGGTGGCACTGAAGCAGCTCAGACAGGCAGGAGGCACTCCGCCCAGAGGGTCTCGAGATGGCCTTTAGCGAGACAGGTGTCCATGTGCGCAGTCAGCAAGCTTGTGTGGAAAGAAGGAATGAGCCTGTTGGCATGTGGCCACTTGGTCACACGCACAAAGCGGGACTCGTGAGCTTCACAAGGGAGAGGGGGGCTTCACAAGGACGCTGGCACTTCTTCATGTGTTTTGATGTTTGAACCCTGGGAACATGTCACTTGTTCAGACAGCAGTTTATTCTGAGTGGCATCAGGGCAGACCCAGATGTTTACAGAGTTTTCTTGGCGTAGCTCCTTCTTGGACTTCACTCGACAGACCCCAGATGGCTGATCTTCCCAGGGTTTCCTCCCTGCCTCCCTGACTTAGCAAGGCCGCCTTGCTCTGCCGGGGCTCCCCCTCCCTGGCCCCCCCTGCAGCTCCCATCCAGGGAGGACGCCAGGGTGACTGGAGGGCTGGCCTCTGTGTCTCCCTTCTCAGGAAGCATGGCCCTCTGCGGCCTGCCGAGCTGTGTCAGCCGAGCCGTTCCTGAGTGCTGATAGTGGGAGCGACTCCAGAGCTCGAAGCGGAAGTCCTGGGCTTCCTTCACCTAGCACAGTCCCACTTAAGAGCGATTGTCCCACGTGACTGCTTTTTGTGCTTCGCTTAAGAAATCTGACGACTCCTGTGTCACAAAGCTGTTGTGTTTTCTTTTTTAAAACTTCTTGTTGGGATTTGGGTGCAGTTTCACAAAGCAGATGGATTTGACACCCAACAGGCCGTGCACATGTTGTTTGGTGGCTCTGCTTACTTCCCCACAGTGTGATGTCTCTCCTCCCGCTTCCTCCCTCGGTGACCCTGCCCCGTGTCCTCCTTTCCTGGGTGTCCTGTCTCCCTACCTTTCTCCCTGTGCGGATGCTGCCCTTCTGATCTCCCAGCGTCCGTCATTCTAAGGAGGCCATCTCTGGTGCAGGCGTTCAGCTCGCAGGCCTGTCTGTTTGGCTGAGCATTAAGCCGCAGGAGTGAATTCAATTCCAGACCCGAAGGGTGACTCAGAGCCTTAGTTACAGGGGGTTGTGTTTTCTTGTAAATACAACATTATTTTATCTTCCCTATTTACTTCTGTAATCCCATCTGGAATTGATTCTGCCCCCCCCCCTTTTTTTTAAGTTGTGGTTTGGGTGGAAGCTTACAGGGCAAATTCATTCTCCATCCAGCAGTTCATACACATTGTTTCAGGACATTGACTGCAATCCCCACAGTGTCACAGTTCTCCTCCCACTTCCTCCCAGTGGCTGGCTACCTTTTGCCTGTGTCTTTCTTTCCTACACATTGCTGCCCTCTGAGCTCTCTCCCTGTGCCGCGACGAACGTGGGTGTGCATATATCTGTCCATCTCCCGGCTCTCGCTTCTTTAGGATATGTACCTAGGAATGGGGTTGCTGGATCAAATGGTTTTTCTATTTCCAGCTTTTTAAGGAAGTGCTATACCATTTTTCAGGGAGCTCTGGTGGTGCAGTGCCTAAGGCATTTGACTGCTAACCAGAAGGCTGGCGATTCCAACCCACCAGCCACTCCTTGGAAGGAAGATTGGGCAACCTACTTCTGTTGAGATACTGCCTCAGAAACCCAAGGAGGGGTCCCTTCAAGTGACATCAGCTCTACACCAGTGAGTTAGGTTCTTTTTTAATACCCTTTTCCACAGAGATTGTACCATTTCACAGTCCCACCAATACTGTAGAAGAGCCCCAGTCTCTCCACACCCTCAACAGCATTGGTTATTTTCTGTCCTGGTGAACTTTGCTGTTTGCTGGGGTGAGACGGTATCTCATTGTTGTTTTGATTTGCATCTCTCTAGTGGCTAATGACTATTCCTACAGGTGCGCGGTAATGTACCAAACAGTGTTTCTTTGCTATTCATAAGGTTTTCCCTGGCCAATTCTTTCAGAAGTGGGCGGCCTCTTCCTTCTTCCTAGTCTGTCTCAGTCTACAAGCTGGGCTGTTACCTGTGTACCAGGTGCATTTCTGCTGGGTTTTAAACACCAGAGGCTCAGCCTCAAAACTCAAGTCTACATGTCACCACAGTAGGACAAACCAACAGACAAGTTTGTCTTGCTGTTGGAGACCTCTCGTATCACCCCCAACTGGGTCCCTGTGGCTGACTGTACCTCTGTCTGGCTTCCTGGCTTTTAATCCCCTTTCTCCTGCTCTTCTGCCCTGCTGTTTTGTGCGTCCCTGAGTTGTCCCTGGGGCTGACTGCTCCTCTGTCCGGGTTCCTGGCTTTTTATCCCCTTCCTCCTGCTGTGCATGGGGTCGCTATGAGTCAGAAACGACTCGACGGCACTTAACAACAACAACAAGTGGCTAATGATCAAGAACATATCTTCTTGTGTTTGTTGGCCACCTAAATATCTTCTTTGGTAAAGTATCTGTTAATGTCTTCTGCCCATTTTTTAATTGGATTATTTGTTGTTTTGATGTCAAGGTGTCAAGAGTTTTCTATAAATTTTAGAGATAAGTCCTTTCTCAGATATATCCTTGCTGAATATTTTTTCCCCAATCTGTAGGTTCTCTTTTCACTCTTTTGGGAAGGTCTTTTGATGCACATAAGAATTTAAGTTTCAGAATGTGCCAGTCATCTAGTTTATCTTCTGCTGTTTGTGCCTTTTGGGTTATGCTTTGTAGGCTATTTATGCCATATTTTAGGGCCTCTATGTTTGCCCCTACTTTTTCTTTGATAAATTTTACAGTTTTAGGTTTTACATTTTAGTCTTTGATCCATCTACAAATAGCTTTTGTGTATGGTGTGAGGTACAGATCTTGTTTCATTTTTTGGCAAATGGATATCCAGTTTTGCCAGCAACATTTGTTAAAGAGACTATCTCTTCCCCATTTAATAGATTTTGTCCCTTTGTCAAAGACCAGCTGACTAGAGGTAGATGGATCTATTTCTGGGTTCTCAATTCTGTTCCACTGGTTATGTGTGTGTCATTATACCAATACCAGGCTGTTTTGACTACTGTGGCTATATAATATGTTTGCAGATCTGAGAGTGTGAGACCTCTTACTTCTTCAGTAAACAAAACAAAACAAATTTGTTACTGTCAAGTCAAATCCAACTCATAGCAACCCCTCCTTGGGTTTCCAAGGCAGTATCTTTATGGAAGTAGATTGCCCAACCTTCCTTCTGAGGAGTGGCTGGTAGATTTGAACCGCCAGCCTTCTGGTTAGCAGTCACATGCCTTAGGCACTACATCACTAGAGCTCCCAGTAGTGCTTTGCTTATCTGAGGTCTCTTTCCATTC